CCGGCCCAAGAAACGGAATGTCGCCCATCCTGAAATCGGTCCTCTCGGCTTCCGCTCCGCCCTGGTCTACGCTCTGGGCAGCGCGCGTCCGAAATGGCAACACGCACGTCGACACGGCAAGCCGTTCTTTCGACACAACAGCGACGCCTACTCCGACGCCCGGGACCCTCGTTTCACCCGGAGCCAGGGACGTCACGGGGGAGCGCGACTTCCTGCCACGGAGACGGCCCCAGCCGCTGAGTTCAACCATTTCAACACCCGCGACGCTGAGGGTTGCCAGATGGTTTTAGCAAAAATACCGGACACGCTTGACACGACAACACAATCGACATTCCACCCGATTTAGAAAACACCGGACGGTTCCGTTTTCTCGTTTCTATTTTCTCAATTTGTTTCAGGACAGAAAGCTCCAATACTGGACTGCCCGGTTCAAAACTGGACACCAGGCATCCCGAACGACGCTTACGTCGCCATTTTCCCGGCTGAATGTTCCCTGACTCATAAGCGGCGCGTCCGCTATTTCGAAATAACGACTACCCAGCGTCATTCAAAGTCAGTTCCCGCCCACCTCCCCCCAGCGCCTCCTGGGGCGTTACAGCAAGGGAACACGGCCCCCTGCACGGAGCCAGCCATGGACTGATTTCGATTTTATGAAATCGGGCATTATTCAGTCGATTTTAGGCACGTCAAAAGAGGTTCCTAGTGTAGTGGTGCCCTACGGGAGGCGGGAGGGGGAAGTCAGCAAGGTTGCCAGGGGTCCAGTTTTCGCCCAGACAGTCTGGAAATCGCATCTTCTATCTGGTAAAAAAAACACGTCTGGTATTTTCCGTCTTTTCATGGACGGAAGGCCAGAGAGGACATTTTTCTCATGCCATATCTGGCGGGGGCAGGGCGGGGAATTTAAAGGCACAGTGACCTTTTTTTTTTTTTTGCTCAACCGATTTTCCACCCCCCACCCCTCCCATCTGGCAACCCTAGACGTCAGGCCTCACCAGCCGAGGAGTAACCGCGAGGGCCCCTTTGTGAGAGCGAAGACGGGGACGTGGGCCCAATCCCATCCGAAAACGTGTCTTGTGCTGGGAACGATGAAACACCTTCCCCCCAGACCCGACCTGGCTAGGGAGGCTGGGGGGGGGGGGGGGGGGGCAACCGGCA